AGACGTTCGCGCGTCTCGCGCTTATCCTGGACCGTGTTTGTGAAACTTTTCCACTTTCATAATAGCAGTGGCTTCATACTTCCATACTCGGTCGCTGGCTCATCTATTCTGTTGATCGTCTCCTTAACTCGGATATGAGCTTCTAGCTGAGTCTAAAGCCAAGATTAAAAATCTGTGCTGTAGATTTCTGCATGGGGTTCAACAGATATCTATTTAGGGGGCTTTGTTCAGAAGTTCGTATTACACAGAACCCCCCCCGGCTATGTGTCAAGGGTTTCTGGGTATTGCCTCTGGTCTTATCGTCCATTCTTCACTGGTTGACCGGAAGACGAGACCAACTGAGAGGGGCCTGATAATTCACAATGCAACGCTTTTGGAAGGTGAGAGTGGTGGAGAAAAGTGGGATGCCGAGCTTTCGTTGTGCAGTGTTGGTTGATATACCCCTGATCGATGTGCATCACGTTGGCCGTGGCAGAAAATCCCAAGACCGGGCGGCATCGCCCCATGTTCCGATCCCTGTTGTGTGCGCCTATTCCCCGCGACGGCCTTCCTATACCAACGTTCCAGTTTATCCACCATTCTGGATCTTTGGTGCCACCCAGTAAACTTATACTGCGGGGATCTCTCTTTCTTACCGAAGCCGCTGTCGCACTACTTGTCCCTCGATATTTGCTACTGACCGGTCCACCACCTGTTCGGTCAAGCTACTTGAAGATGGCGGACGACTCCAGTAGCCTTGGACTCGAAAGAGCTCCTCCAGCAACAGGAATAGTGACAGAGAAGTCGCCGTTTCCGATACTCTTTTTGATACCAGCTGCCACCTTTTTACTGTGGTGTTTGTATGAGGAGCTTTATTCGCCCCTCAGAAAGTACCCAGGACCATTTTTTGGACGTGAGTTACGCACCTCCAATCAAAGACCGGTCAGGTAAGAAGCCCATAAGCGTTGATGTTAACTTCCCAATCGGTCTCCAGGATGGACCAGGCTCTGGTACATGTACTGGAACTGGACAGGTAACTCTCAGCTACAGTTGGAGAGACTACACAACAAGTACGGTCCTATTGTTCGGATCACGCCATACATCATTGATGTCGACATACCAGAGATTATCCAGACGGTGTTCAGCACCAAGGGGAATTGGCTTAAGGTCAGTCAGTCACTGGAAGGCAACTTTGCCAATACGATGCTAACTCATTGTCAACGTAGACTCCGTGGTACCATGGAAGTAGCGCGCTTGTCAACAATCAGATCGTCCTCAACCTATTCAGCCAGACCAATCCAAAACAGCACGCAAAGGAGAGGAAGCCAATTGCCAAATTCTACTCCCCTTCTGCTACTGCCGCGCTCGAGCCTCATATTGACTCAGTCATCAAGAAGTTCTGCCAAGACCTGGAGAGACGGTTCATCAATGTTCCAGACGACAAGCGGGAGTTTGACCTTGGTCAGTGGATTCTATTCTGTAAGTAAACCCTGCCATAGATCCTACGAGCAAGGTTCGCCTTCTTTTCTCTCCCCCGCGACCGAATTGAGCGACGCCTTGTATTAATTCCGAGTACTGATCAAATCCAGATACCTGGGATGTGACTGGTGCTGTGACTTTCTCCAAGCCGTTCGGCTATCTGGATAAAGGCTTCGATTTCGATGGCGTCCTCCATGCTGCCGACAAAGCACAGGACTACTTTGTCGTGATCGGGGCCATGCCGTTCCTCGACCGAGTTTTCGACAAGAATCCCGTTTACCGTGTCGGGCCTCCCGGATTCAATACTTCCACTGGCATCTCGATTCAGCGCCTACAAGACCGCTACACTGGTGCAGACAAGGAATACCACAACCCCGACATTCCCGACTTTCTCGATCGCTTCATTGCCGCCAAGAACGACGACCCTGAAAACGTCAGTGACCCGCAGATCATTTCCTGGCTTATGGTCAATATGATCGCAGGAAGCGATGTAAGTCAATTATTTTGCCAACGTTGATCTTCCCAATAATGTCTGACTTGCTCGTCCAGACTACTGCGATCACCATCCGAAGCGCTCTGTACTTCTCCCTCAGCAATCCCAAAGTCTGGTCTCGGCTCAACGATGAAATTCGTTCGAAGCGTTTCCGAGAGCGCGGAATGGTTCCACCGGCATACAAAGAAGTCCGCGCCATTCCTTACGTCGATGCTGTCGTTCGCGAAGCGCTCCGCATTCTGCCAGGCGTCTCTATGTCCATGGAACGCTACGTTCCGGCTGGCGGGTTTACGCTACCCAACGGCGACTATCTGCCGGGGGGAACTATCATCGGGGTGAGCCCCTACATTACGAATCGAAATCAATCGGTCTTTGGCGTTGGTGCCGACGCGTTCCGGCCAGAGCGCTGGTTGAGGGACGAGGCTGGAGGTGAGACGGAAGAGTCCTTCCAGTCACGCCTGACCCTGATGAACAAGGCGGACTTGTCATTTGGGGGCGGAAGCAGAAGCTGCATCGGTAAGAACCTGGGGTTGTTCCAGTCTTACAAGGTTTTGGCTACGCTCATCACGCTGTACGACATTGAGTTGTCGGAAAAGGCAGACTGGAAGGTCATTTGCAGTTGGTTCCCACGACAAGAAGGTTTGCGGGTCAGGATGAGGCGAAGGCCTTGATCAGGATCATGAAAGCAGGGTAAATCCCAAGCCCACTCCGAGTTCGGTAATCCAGAGGACCAGGAGCAGAAACCGAAACACGACGAATCCCAAAGATCAGCCCGCTTTCCCTTGAAACATACATTTAGTGCAGTCAGCCCGATATTTAGTTCCCAGATTAGGTCATGAACGATCAAGCATCTCGTTTATACTGATATACGGAAAAGATTTACCATGTGGGTACTGACACTGGTGGCATTAATGACAGTTGTCGACTTACCTAATCGTGCGTGATCTAGCATCCCGCCCTGACGTTTTCTTTTTTCAGTCCACTAAAACATCTTTTCCCACGACAGCCGTAAGAAACAATTCGAGTGACCGAACGTCAAAAAGGAATCTGATGAGGACGAGACTCGAACTCGCGCGGGTTGCCCCACCAGGAAATCTGTTAAGGAGACCTTAACCTGGCGCCATAACCAACTCGGCCACCTCACCGGTGATTGTTGAAGGCGCCGCTGACGGGTGGGTTCATGGGGTAGGTTGCGGGGCGCGACGAGGGCTTCATCTCGTGTCTTGCCTTGTAGGATGCGGCAATGGCTCCATGAGCTGTCTCATGGAAGGTTATTTCAGAGCGCCGGCCTTGGCCAACGTGCCAATGAATGCTGGCGGAGTTCTCTTGTGCTAGAGCTGAGCATGTCTGGTCGCGATCACTTCTTAGAGAGGGTCGGCAGATCTAGCACCACATAATTGGCAGTAAAGATTATTGTCGTGGCTCAGAACTAGCACGCGAATTTCATTGATGACTATGTTAACTCCTGTACGAACGAGTGAGGTCTCCTCACGTTCATTGCTCAAAACAAGGCACGAAGTGCCATGAACGTCGACGCACACAAAGCCTAGGTTTAAATTGTAGCCTGAGCTTCTTGACAAACATTTGAATGTTGACCAAGATTATAGACCAAGGTAGAGAAGAACCTTGGACTTCGTCATATGTCTATCAACCTAGCGAGCCCCGTTCCAATCTGGTCATGCTCTGGCTCTAAGGAAGGGACTCGTAAGCTACCTAGGTAAGAAGGTAAGAAGCAGAATAGTACTAAGATTACTTTGGAGAAAAGAAAGCTGCCTCAAAGCCTAGCAGCGCTGGACGTCATGAGGACTGTGGGGGACCTGGGTGCATCATGGCCTTCAGATGGACACATGTGTAGCATCCGTAGGAGATCTGCTTTACCCGCTGGATCAATCATTTATCCTTGGTCAAGCCTGGCGAGAAGCTTATTTGCCACAGCCAAGCTCAATACCCTTTCCAACAACCTCTGCAATCAGGGGAGGGAAAAGCCAGCCCTTGAAAACTTGAATGACGTCGTCAATAGCGCCGCAACCTCCCCTGTTCTCCGCGGCTTCAGACGAAAACTCAATCAAAATCTCGTTGTTTTGGGTGTTCGATCCGTCAGTGTCGGCAGTGACGTAGATAAGCGCAGGTACTTGGTGTCCGTGTCGGAGTTTGTTGCATTTCGCGGACCTTCCCTCTCCAGGACATTTGCAAACACGATCCGAGCATGCCGCGCCAAATTTGTTGCAGTTCACGGCAATAGTGTCGGCGCAGCAATCCACGTAAACTTCATATTGGTGTTTTTCGGCGATTCTCTTGACTGTTTCCCAAGCAGCTTCGACCATGGCGTCTCGGACTTGAAGGTGCTTGCCGTCGACATCATTCCACTTGCCGATAATTGATACGGTGACTTTGTGGTCCGGGCCATTGTCGAAGTTGCAACGCTTGCTCTGAGTTGAAAATTCTTCGTCCTTGATTGAGACTTGGTGCAAATTGGTGGGATCCTCATAGATTGCCTTCCAGGTTGTCGCGAAAAGGTCAAGGTTGCCGACTTCGATCAAGCGATCGCTGGTGGAAACATGGATTTTAGCAGCATCAATAGACGGAGCCAGTGCACCAAATACAAGTGCCGCCGTGATGAGCTTCATGATCTTTCTAAATGGTCAATTTTGCAACGACTTAACGACCAGTGCTTGAACTTACGTCTCTTTGGTTGAGCGAGTAGTTAATGATGAAGAACTATTGCGAGAGGAGAATGATGTAGGATACAGCATGACCCAGAACAGCAAGTTAGTTGTGTCGCCTTTTATATACCAGACAATGGCCTTCGGTAGACGTCTCGAGACACGCATTCGTCGAAAGCCTGCTGTTCCTTGCAGCACCACGAGCCCTGTCGTGCCCCCTGTCGTAGGTCACCTACAGACAACCTAACACGTGCCGTCTTAATGCAACGAGAGCACGGCGCGAATCAGGCATCCCATCATCCTACAGCATGATTTTGTGGGCACGCAAAGACGTGCCACTGGCGGATCACGTCTTTTCCCCTATCCTTTCTCTGTCAAACACGAAAACCTACTATCAAGCTGGGTGGCAGACTAAACCCCAACGGAGGGTGTGTGGGTGACAGTTACACCGAGTTCTCAGTGGTCGTCGTGGGGGTCAACGAGATGGACCTTCACCCAGGTTCTCCCGGTTGTTGTTTAATCTTCGTATCTCAACTAGACCTGTTACTATCGTCAACCTTCATGAATAGGATAAAATGTTCAGCACAGAGACTCTGAGAAGACTGTAAAAGACGCGACGTGAGCACCATCTTGGCTCACATTTTTTCGATAGTGTTGTCAGCCGATGCTTACTCGGTCTTACCGCTATTGCTGTGATATCTGACTTTCCAATGAGCGAGTAAGGCATACATGATACCTTTTCGGGGTATGTCAGGCCGAGCTGCAGTACGGTAGTATCCCTACCACGGAGATCCTTAATCTTCCTCTCGGAAAACTTCGACCTGACCTGCAGCAAGCTGGAAACTGCTGAGCTCCGAAGGATGATGACACTTTTAGGCCATTGTTCAAGAATGAGTTATCAATAACTCGCACAGCTCAAGCGAGCCTTATCCCTACTGGGTTTTGAGAGCTCACACCGGCCGAGTCAACTTTCCTGTATTTGGAAACTCCTTCAACACGGCCGTTCTGCCCCGGCTAGAGAACTATTCGCTGGGGGGTGGACGGAGGCTTCATGATGGTCTAATAGAACACCCTGAGCTTGATAAAACCTTTTGTCCCAGTACCAGCCATCATTAATCACATGCAACTTGAAATTTGACTCGGAACGGCGGGTGAGATACGGAGCAAGCGACTAACCAGGAAGAACTTAACTTGGGTCTCGCTGCAGGACAATCCGAGCCCACCTCTTGGAGGGAGCAACAGGAGCCTCCTGCACTTGACGGCAAGTGCCGAGGGGCACAAAACGCGAATGGTATCGTTGTTGAGGAACACCCATAAATTTGACTTTGTACATCTAAGAAAAATGATACACTCTACCAGCGAGCTTGTAAAGGAAGCTGGCAACTCGATACCTCAAAGTAAGAAAAAGGCATCTTCACTACCCTAGGTCGTCGCCGTCCTATCCGGATGCCGACAGCCGCAGACCATGACCCCCAACTTCGGTGCCGTTTTGACGGAGTGGAAATTGGTGTGAGCTTCTCAGCATGCTGAAGGGCTGGAATATACAGCCGGGCTTTGTCCATGTCCCGGACTAGACTTGGGTGATATCATTCAAATGTTGATGGTGCCTCGGGAACAATTTAAGTGACCATTTCGCGTGGGGTTTCCCCACGTCGACGAGGACACACCAGCTAGGTCGGCGACAACCTGTTGACATGCCGAAGCCGACACGAATCAGCACTTCAAGATGTCAGACCTGAGTCGTCTTCTGGCAACCAAACTTTTAGTAACAAGGAAGGTCAAGAAAGCGGCTTCGTCATCAGCGCCGAATCTCGTGGCTAATCTATTGGTATCAAAGGCAAGCAACTGAGCCGGCAGGCGGTTCTCTCACGATCAGCTGCAGGGGCTACTCGACCACCCATAACGGACACTGAGTCTTACACGCATAATAAAGCCTCGGCCCATCTACTCTCGATTTATGATCAAGTGGTACGCGGCAGCGACTTTGAGGTTTAACTTTGCCGCAAGGGTGTGGTGTGCAGCATCAAGAGCTTGAACCTATTGGTTTCTGTTTATTGTCAAGGCCCATTCAAGTTAGAACCTGGATGGACGTTTCGCACGAGATGAGGCCGACCAAGAGATTACGCAACATCCGTCAGTAGGGTTAGCATCCATACCTGGCGATTGTTTTGCCCATGATTGAATCAAAGAAATACTATTGGATCTGAGAATCTTTCAATGAATGTAGCCGCCAGATTCATTTACGACAGTGTTCAATCTACATCGGTCGATCTCAACCATCAGCACAAAGCTTCGTGGGTATTTTCAGCGTGCACCGAGTCCACAATATCTCTCGAAAATGGTGTTTCCATTCCACATTGTCAGCCGTCAACACTCAATGAACAGTAAAGAGAATCACAGAGGATAAAGACAAGTGGCTTCTCGGCGTTGTCAACCCCCTGGCTGAATCAATGAGGTTGTTCACGAAGACGGCGAACAGAACCCCTGTCAACGGCTCCCACTCCGGGCTCCGACGTTCGCTTTCGCTTTGATCCTGGGCCCTCGGTCTTCTCTGTAACATCGAAAATGGCATAGCCACGTTTATGCTCTAGAATGGCACCACAACAACGCCGACTGGCTTGCCTGATCGAGTCAGACGATGCAGTCTATTGACGCTAATGAGCATGTCCTCGACATTCTCAACATTGGCTCTTGTCATGTCGCATCCTAGACGACCTTGGCTCGGGGATCAGTCCGACAGACGTAAACACCTAAGTAACGTCGTCAGTCAGTAAATTTGATGCGCCCCAATTGCAGAAAGCATCGGGGATCCATCTTCGGGCGAACTGTAACGTGCGCAATCCGGGATTACTGATTCGAATGCTTCGTGTGCACCTGATGAGCGACTCAGTAATTGCCCAAGTCCGCGCGTACCCAGTCATCTCAGTCGTCGAATGTAGGCTTATCTTATCCGATCATGGTCACATGAGAGCTCATTTGTGGTTGGGGTAAGCTGTCAGCAACCCGCCAACCATCTCTTTTCCGAGGGTGCGCGCCAGACTTGGCCTCACGCGAATTCCCGTGTGAAGGAGCTGATGATGCCCAATGTCTCGACGAACGCGATCCACAACCGCCGCCCTGTCCAAGCTGACGGAGCCCGTCACGAAGAAGGTCACCTCAGGCCCACGCGCGGCCAAGATCGCCGCAGCGCCTCAGTCTCCACCTATCCGCCTCTTCGACACCGCCGTCGCGTGGGAAACATGGCTCGCCGCGAACCCCCAGGACCTCACTGGCGTCTGGCTGCAGATCGCCAAGAAGGCGGCCGCCAAACCGACCGTCACGTATGATCAGGCTCTCGACGCCGCCTTGTGTTACGGTTGGATCGACGGCCAGCGCAAGACCCACGACGCTGAGCACTTTCTCCAGCGCTTCACCCCGCGGCGGAAGAACAGCATGTGGTCCAAGCGTAACGTCGACAAGGTGGCCGTCCTCATCCAGGAGGGCCGAATGCGGGCGCCGGGGCAGGCTGAGATTGACGCCGCGAAGGCAGATGGGCGATGGGAGCGCGCCTACGCCGGGCCGAGCAGCATACAGGTGCCAGCGGACTTTCAAGCGGCGCTGCTCAAGAACAGTTCGGCAAAGTCGTTCTTTGAGGCATTGAACAAAACGCAGCGGTATCAATTTCTCTGGCGCATTGAAACTACGAGGAGGCCGGAGACGAGGCGGCGTAAAATTGACGAATACGTTGCGCTGCTAGCTGATCACAAGCCACTATGAAGCACATTCTTCCCTCAAGCATTCGCCAAAGAAAGACTATCATGTTGATTAGAAAATTGGGAGATAAGTCTTTTTTTTCCGTTTGGTTGTCGAAGGTACCGATTGCCCATGCGACTGTACTGGCATTGTCGGGGACATTTCTTCCCAGCTTTCTGTCTGCTACTTGGGTCATGTCTACCATCGGTCTTTTACTCCTCCTCGATTACTCTGGGCCTCGCGACTTTGGGAACAAACACGTTGCGCTGCCGTTCCTTTCTGGATCAGAAGGGTCCTGTTCAGACCCTGCGTCCCAGCTACTGGTACCACGTCTGATAAACTATAAGCATGTGATACCAGCGCAACTTCCATGTTGCATTCAGCACAGCATCCCAGTGCCCCCGCGCAAGCCCATTTCGGCATGATTAATTCGAAATTCGACTGTGTTTCTTGGGTCAAATGCAAGCCCACCGACCATTCTCACATGCCCCCTCATTTGAAAATTCCTCTCCAGATGGGGTTTTGCCTATTTGCCCGTCGCCAACCGCTGGTTCCAGCACTGCGAATGGTTCCATCTAGGCGAGTGGTACATCAGCGTTGTATCGCGGCTCATTTGGATGAATACATACGGGGGCTTCTTCCAGCTGGCACTTTGCACGTCTTGGCTAGCACTACATCCGCCGTATCAATGGACGATTGTTTTTGCCAGTGATACCTTCAACATCCATTCTTTGGCGCCCGCTTTTCGGGGTCTGCCTGACGCGATTCCCAGCTCGAAAGGCACGTCCTAATCTGTACAGCGCTTCATCACACCACGAACCTGCCTTTCAGGGACGTCGTATACGCACGCATGCTTCTCCCGATAGTAAGGGTCTCCCGAGTATAAAATCCCTGGTCATGTCGATCGCTCTCCACATTCGTAAAGAGGGACAGCCCCCTTCATCAGGTTCTCAGATCTAACCGAAAGCGCCTCCCTCGATACCCCTGATTTCACCTTCGCCATGCGCGTCTCTACCCTCTTCTACCTCCCCACCTTGGTCCTCGCCACTGAGGCCCTGGACAAGGCTAAGATCACCATCAGCAAGGCGTCTCATTCTGGCAATGGCTGCCCGCAGGGAACCGTGACGTCCGTAGTGTCGGGCGACAAGACGGCAAGTCCCCGCTATGTCAAACCCCCATTATGAAACACATACTCATATGGTCCAGGTCATCACCTTTGGGTTCGATCAGTTCCAGACCTACATAGGCCCCGGCACCTCCTACACCGAGCGCTCCAAGAACTGCCAGCTCCACCTCAACCTGCAGTACCCCGCCGGCTTCAGCTTCGCCGTCGTGGACAGCGTCTACCACGGCTTCGCCCTCCTCGACCCGGGCGTCACGGGCAACTTCTTCTCGACCTACTACTTCAGCGCCGACGCCGCCAAGACGTCGACGACGCAGACGAGCATCCGCGGCGGCGGGCCCTGGGCCGCCGGCCAGGTCTACACCAAGCAGGATATTGTGCCCGCCGGCGACGTCGTGCGGTCTCCGTGCGGGGGGTCGCAGGCCACGCTCAACGTGAACAACCGCATCGCGCTCAACAGTGAGAAGCCGGAGGCGTTTGGCATGATTACGAACGACGACGCGACCGTGTCGCTGCAACAGCAGGTGCACATTGAATGGTACAAGTGCTAGGTGTGAATTTTCTGATTTTACGCGGCCTCGCAGGAGCCCTGAGACTTTTGTCGGTCCTCACTCTCTTTCTGATCGGTATAGTCAATCAAGTCCGATGTTTCATTTTGCTGATACGGATCGATTTGAAATGTGGCGAGATGCCGCACGTTTCGAGATCCCTTGCTCAAATTCAATGTGAACGCATGTGTAAAATTTGCTGCTCATGACTCCAGGCCGCTCGTGGTCTGGCTGTAGCGTCTGGCCTGCTTGAACTCCTGTGAACCTCTCCGGGCTGCCTGTCAATACGGGCTCTGTTCCAACCGCATCCCCGGGGTTTTCGACAGCAGCATAGAGCTGATAAGCTATACCCGGTGTTCGACGGCAATCCGCGGTCAGGAGCCAACCCGCCTGCAATGAGCCGAAACATGCTGATGGAGGCGGTATTCTGCATGGCCAGCCCATAGTGACTTTCCGTCGCAGGGGTTTTCGAACACGCGGGGCTTCACCCACCTATACCTCAGTTCTTGCACATCGGAGGTTGGAAACCAATGCTCCACCGCATCCCTCCCATGATGGCCACCATCAGCGCAAAGGCTGACACGACGCTCACCGACCCGTAGATATAGGCGTGCCTCCTCCGCAGGGAAGCCAACTCGGCCACCCACGTCGACACGGTTGACAAGCATCCGCAGAATCCATCATCAATGCCAAGAAGGACCTGGCATCCGACGAGGCCCCCAAGGGGTACATGCAACAAATCCCAACCCATGCCCAGGATCGCCGTGCCCAAAATGTTGGCTGAGAATGTGCCGATGGGGAAGACTGGGTTGCGAGGGTTAAGGAGAAGGGAGAGATGGTAGCGCAGAATGCACCCGAGAGGCGCAAAAACAACGGCGAAGAGGGCTTGGCCGCGCCAATGCTTGTGTGGAGGGAAGACAGCCAGCAGGATGGCACCGAGCCACGAGCCCCAGCCTAGAAGAATGCTGAGCGGGTTTAAATATCTTCGTATGAGTCCTGGAGAAGGTGACGGCGTAAAGGGATGAAGGGCGTCGGCTGCATGGTTCCCTACGATGAGAGCAGACAGCGAGAGGCCTACTGTGGTGACGAGGACCGCGAGAAGCGCCATGAATGAGTAGCCACCATGCCTTGACAGGGGTGTGGACAGATCTGGAGACGGGAGGTCGTTCGAGGTAGCCAGGAACATGTCGCGAATAAAGGATGAAAAGGAGGTGAATGAACCGCAGAAGCCGGTGGTTAGACCGACGTAGAGCGGAAGGGTCTTCTTCCTCGCCATGTGCTCCTTTCTTGCAGAAGCAGACATCGACGCGAGCTTCGGCTTGGGAGCTGCGTATGTTTCGTGTGAGGGCATATCATGCTCGTCAACCGGAGCATCCACAGGCGAATAGAACAACTTCGTGTCCTCAGCTAGGAAGCCAAAGATGAAGCTGCCACCAACGTTCGCCCACAGTACACCAAATGAGACGGGAGCTCCAGGGTAATGAGTCAAGGCCTGCAAACCAAGTCTAGAGAGCGTACCCCATATCGCAAAAAAGACGAGATACGAGTGCGTGTCGAGCTGTGTCGCCCAGCGGGAAACGCGGTCCTGGCGGTCATCGTATCGATGTGGTTGGCTTGGCGCAACATTGGCGGACATAGTCGTGATCGTGTACCAAGAGAAAAGCGTACAATATGACCATTGCGCATGAATTCACATTGTTGTATGATGGCAGCAGAGATTGGAAAAGTCTCCGTTCCAACTGATCGAGGGAGGAGTCACATTTGCCCACTACGCGTAGCACGGCAAGCGCGTTCCGCTTGACCGATGCCCACCGGAAGCCATCGGTGTAGGGGAAACTGCCGAGCACCCCTACACCCCACACTGGCAGCTGACCGACTTATCAGTGGAGCATCGGCCACCTCCGCAAGGGCCCAAGCTCCCTTATCTGACCGCTTTATCTGCTGCCCCGCAGTCCCGGGGAGGGGCCCGATGGATAAGGGACCTGACCGATGACCTCGTCAGGTACCTGGACCGCCTTGCCTTCCCTTTAGGCATCACGCTGGGGAACACGACACGTTTCTGTCGATTTACTCTCCTCTCTTCTTCTTCTTCTTCTCCTTCAATCCTCGTAAAGTCATTTTTCCAACAGCGACAATTCAACATGGCGTCCTCACCTGAGCTTCCACCCAACGTTCACGTCTCCTCTCACCCCTGCCTTCAGGCGAAGCTCTCCCAATTACGATCCAAGTCAACACCAGCCAAAGATGTCAAGACCATCGTCAACGACATTGCCCTGATCCTCGGCTGCGAAGCCCTCGCAGCCTCAACATCACCAGCCAAAGGCCCCGAGGTGAGTAGAGCAGAGCGCCATCGATTCCACGGCTTCCGTGTCCCACTAAGTGTCCCGCTGACCTCCGTCTCCAGGACCAAACCCCCCTTGGTTTCACATACAACACAACGGTCCTCAACCCCCGCACCATCTGCCTCGTGCCCATCCTCCGCTCCGGTCTCGCCATGGTCGACGCTCTCCAGACCATCCTCCCCGACCCGGTGCCCGTCCACCACCTCGGCCTCTACCGCGAGCCCTCGACCCTCGAGCCCGTCGAGTACTACAACAACCTGCCCCACCACATCCCCGACCCGACCCTCACCGCCGCCTCCACGTCGGCCGCCGCCTTCGCGTCCGTCTCCACCGCCGCCTCCACCCTCGAGGCCGAGGCCACCGGCGGCGCCGCCAACGCCTCGAGCCTCGCCATCATCCTCGACCCCGTCATCGCCACCGGCGGCACCTGCGCCGCCGCTATCAACACGCTGCGCGACTGGGGCGCCCGCCGCATCGTCGTCCTGTCCGTCGTTGGCGCCGCCGAGGGCGTCAGGCGCGCCGCGAGCGAGTGGCCCGAGGCCACGGACATTTGGGTCGCGGGCGTCGATGCCGAGATTACCGCCGAGGGCATGCTGAAGCCTGGTCTCGGCGATGTGGGCGACAGGCTTTTCCTGACCATTGGGAAATAAGCGCTTCGTAGTGTCAGTCTTCTTTTCCGGGTGCGTAGCTCGGCGGACGGTCCTTGGGTGAGATGAAGGGTATGTTTTTGGCGGCGCCATACACAGGGATTTTGCTGCATCATCATATCATGGGTATAAAGGAACCTGTCGGGACATAAAACTACCGTTCACATGCCCAGACTTGTGTTTCGAAACGAGTCGAAAACTGGTATTCGTGATGTGCGTAAAAACCGGACTACCCGGTAAAAAGACATAACCGTGAACATTATACCCCAAATCGCTCCTCATCGAGCATCGTCCTCTCCTTCCACGAATCCTCTACCCATTGTGCATCGACAACGCGGGGTATCTTCCGCCGTCTGCCGATATCCTTGCGGACCGAAACGGCCGCATCTTGTTTCTCTGCATCTTGCCCTCCGACAAGCACAATGTGCGTGGACGAATCAACGGGCAAACCATCCGTAACCTCCCCGCCGCCAAAGGCAATGTAGTTCCGCAAGCGAAACGCGTCGAGCTCGCCGCCGGGTAGAACATGGAGGTGAACGACACAACGGTCAAAGATGGCACTGTCACGTTCGCCCAAGTCGTTCCCCCTCTCCTTGAGCTGGCGTGCAAACTCCGCCGCGCCCTCTTCGCGCCCCTCACTCTCCTCATGCGGGGGCATGTCGCCCAGAATCTGCCGCAGCTCTTCCACGTCTACAATCCGGAAGTAGCTGTCACCAAACTCATCCGTGTTCTGCCTAGCAATCTCTCGCAAGCCCTCTGTCGCGTGGAACAAATGGCGTTCTTCGTACGGCAGAAGCCCGTCGTCGGTCTCTTGTGCGAGACAATCCTGAACCCAGTTGGGCCGGATGATGTCCACGTCGCCCTTCTTGATGAGACTGGCAACGCTGACGACACGCTTGTCCGCAATCAGGATCAGGTCTGACCGCGCGGCGTGTCGCTGCGTGATGCGACCGCCGTTTGCTTTGATCATCGTCTCTAGCTGTGTCTTGGTCTTCTTGAATGGCTTGAGGGACTCAGACAGGACGCAGAATTCCAGCCCCTCGAAGACCTTTGACTTCTCGCCCTCAAACTGAACAGGTGTGCTGTCGGTGCCGGCAATGACGAGTTCCTTCTTGACGCGCTTGACAGCTCTGCGCTTCGTGTTTTCCACGCTCATTGTCTTCTCCTGAGCCTCCTCTTCGACACGGCGACGCAGGTCCTGGAATTCCTGCACGCTGAGGCCCTGATCCCAGCTCTTGTCTTTTCGGAGCTTGCGGAACCTGGGGAATCGCAGCGTGAAGCCTAAGGCAAATTGATCGGATGGTCCAACGCTGGAGGCCTTTGCTTCGAGTACGAATGAGTCCTTTGGCCTGATCCAGACATCTGGTTTCTCGGCAAAGCCGTGTGCTAATTCAATGTACTCGTTCGGCGGCTTCTTGGGATCCCAGTCCTTCCACTTGCCGTCGGTGTGATGACGAATCTCGGCATAATCCTCCACACTGAAGCCGCCGCCAACCTTGAAAAGACTGAAGCACTTCTCGGGGTTGGCTCCCGCTTTGATGTGATTCTCACCGACGCGCAGGCCGCACAGGTACGTGGAGAGAATGCCGCCTCGCTTCCCCGAGCCGTAGTAGCCGCCAATCACGACACAATCGAGCGATTCGCCAAACTCCGTCATGTACTCGGGCTTCACCTTGAGCCAATCGTCGTTTCGGCTGTTGAGGCGGTACATGGAGCGCGGGTTCTTGAGGACCAAGCCTTCCGAGGCCTCGGCGACGACTTTGCGAAGGAGTGGCTCGATGGCGTCCGCCGATGTCGCGGCCTCGTGCTCGTGTACCTCTATCCTCCTGTGAACACCGACGACAGCTTTGCTCAGCGCATTGTAGCGATCGCGGAGGGTGTACCGCGTCAACGGCTGGTCATTCAGGTACAAGATGTCAAAGACGCGGAAGAGCGGGCGGGGGCCAGTGTTGTTGTAGGGATTCTTCTGTTCGGCCAGCGCCGCCGTCTTCAAGGTGCCAAACTGCATGATCTTGTCGGTTTCTGGGTCCCAGGTGATCATCTCGCCGTCCAAGATGATGTTTCGCACGCCAGCGGCAAAGGCCTTGCCGAGGTGTCGCGTCAGCGCGCCGCGATCGTCCTTGAGGCCCTCGCCGTAGAGATAAGTGTAGTCTTTGGCCTTGCGCGACCAAAAGCAGAAGCGCTTACCGCCCGGTATTGAGGCGTCCTCCATCATGTGCATCTGCATCCGTTCACCGTCGAGCTTCTCCTCGATCCAGTACTCGGGATCCTCCTCGGTGGGCCGCAAGTAGTCGACCATTTTCTGGAACGATGCCGGCATCTGAAATTGGGCCAATTGCGGCTGGAAGCATTGCATGAGTGTGACGCCCGTGTTCTCCTGCTCCAGCCGGTACTGCGGGTCGAACAGTTCCCAGCACACGCGCCGCAAGCTGGACGAAACGTTGAACAAAGTCTCGGCGTCGGGGTGCCAGAGATGAAGCAACGTCTTTTCCGTGGCGCCAACCTTCATCTGCTTCAGGATGATGCGGATCAGCCACATGAGCTCTTCGGCGTTCATGCGCTCGTAGAACGTCTCAAACACTTCGAGGTTCTCCAGCTCTCCCGAGGACCCGGCCAGCTTGTCGAGCAGCTCGTTGACGTCGGCAATCGTCATGTCACCCACTTCGATGCGCATGGGACGCTTCGACAAGACCTCAAAGGCTCGGCCCGCAAAGTCGCCGGCCATGCGCGACGCCGTGGTCTGGCCGGGCAGCTTCCAGTGCAGGAGGTTGTAGCCGTCCTCGGAGTTCTTGTCAATCTTCATGAGCTTGACGAGGAGCTTGCCAATGGCGTTCTCCTTGAGACCATAGACGCCCCTGTCGCGGTCCTTGTCGGGCAGGATCAATCGCATGGCCGGGTAAAAGTCGTTGCCGACATCCTTTCGCCATCGCGAGATGAATCGGTCGATGATGTGGCGGCGCTGCTCGCTCGGCGACGGCTTGGAAGGGCCGTGGGGCCCGAGTTTGGCGCGAGGCGGCCCAGAGCCTGGAGGCTGCTTCTTGTTCTCCATAAGAGGGTTGAAGAGGCTTTTGAAGAGCTCCGAGAAGAGGAATGTCTCGGAGTGATTCCTCGGGCGTCCAGGGTAGCTACGGGCTTGGTCAGTGATTGCAGCGAGACAAGTCGCAGAGGCGGGGGTCGCACTTCTCATTGACCTCTTGCAAGGTCATGCCACCAACTGCGTACTGCCGCTCATCTTCTTCGATGGCGGCCGCACTGGGCGACGGTTGCCCTTGTTGGTGGCTCATCACAGCAGGCGAGGCTTTGGCTGGATGCTACAGGCAGTGTCTCAGCGCACGAGGTTGCTGAGAGGACGAAGCTGACGTACGTATCGGCTTTGGAGAGGACAGTACCAGAATCGTCGCAAGCTTCTTCATGTGTCTGCACGCAGGGGCATTATGAGGAGTTATGTAGAGACCAAAAGCAGGCTCTGTTATATTGTTGGTCTTTTGAAGGTGGACGCATTTGGCAGGCACTCCCAGGTGGTCGGTGCCTGGAGCTGCTGCAGCCTTGAAAAGCGGGACAACGACGATCGCCTCTGTCCCACCAGTAGCCGCATACAAACCCCCCAGACGCATCACCCCCACAAGGCCATCTGTCCGGATAGCGGCATCCGAACCGACGCGTCATTCCATCAGAGACATCACAGCATTGCAACCTTGTATCAACTTCGTCTCCCTCTTCACTCATCCCGCTCTTCATTTGCCTCGCTCTTCGCTCATCTCTCCCTTTCTCTCACGAATATAAAGGCCATACGACGGTGGCAGGGCCGCATCGCATTTCAATTGGGACGACTTCTAACTACCTACTCGTTGACCGTATCTCATCCATCATGTCTCAAGGGTAAATCATGCAAACATCGCTGCCATCCATGGAAATTCCTCCCGTTTCAAGTGTACCATACAGTCAGTCTGCCACCATGCTGTCTCACCGCCTCGCCAGGATAGCTTCCACGGTCGACCCTCCTGGCTTCTTTTCCTCGCCAAGAACGTCTCCCGAAGACGACCGTCCCAGACTCGTCAGTGATGCGAGCGAAGAACCTCATAGGCAAAGCAAGGCAAGGCAGGGGCATGGCACGCTTAAGAGCGGGTAGAGAGAGTGTCAGAGTGGACCTTCTCCACGTCGACCTCGCGCATGGGCTCGGTGACCTGCTTCTTCTGGTTCTTGCGGCGGACGAGGAAGAAGGCAAGGGCGGCGAGCAGACCGAGACCGGCAACGACGCCGACGACGACGCCGGCAATCTCACCGCCGCCGAGGCCGGACGAGCCCCTGTCCTCGGAGGCGGTGAAGTCCTCGACGGTGTGGGGCGTCTCGCCGTTCTCGTCGGTCGTCGTGACGCTGACCGAGCCGTCCTCCTTGACCTCGGGGTCGGAGATGGTCGAGTTGAAGCAGGGGATCTCCTCGTCAAAGGCGGCAAACTCGACAAACTCGACGTCGGCGCAGGCGTAGTGCGTCGTGCGGTCCGCCTCGTTCTCCTCAAAGTTGGCGACGTAGAGGATGCGGTACGTGGCGTTGCTGCCGGCCGTGACGCTGGCGGGGTGGTCCGGCACCGTGATGCACGTGTGGCCGAGGTCCAGGGAGCCGACCTGGTCGGGGCCGTAGAACGTCTCAAAGTCGGAAGCCGACGTGGGGTCTATCGCCGGCTTGCGTCAGTCGTGTCGTCCCTTGAGCGGGCCCGTAGGGCTGGACTTACTGTTGCTGTACGAAACACCAACGTGGACAGCACGGGTGTTGTCCTGGGTGACGAGGGCGAGCCTGCCGTTGGCTACGTGGTCTCTGTCAGCCTGTGTTGTGCAAGAGGGAACATGATGACAGAGTCGTCGTCAAGTCGATCTCACGCCTGACAGAGAAAAGAAAATCACTCACTCAGAGGGAAGGCAGTGCGCTCGCCGAGCTGGGCACCGCCGCAGGGGGCCGTCTCGTCAGTGGCATCCACCCACTTCCTGTCGGCGGGCCAGAGGAAGGCGGCGGCGCCCATCTCGTTGCTGGTGGTGGCCTGAGCGACGGTGGACGAGGCGAAGAAAGCGCCAACGAGGGCGACAACCTTGGAAGAGACCATTTTGGGCAAGGGACCAGAGTGTGTAAGCTCAAGAAAAGGGATGAGTGTTGAGGCTTATGCTTGTCAGAGAGAAGACACTGGGCTTGGGGTGGGGGCTTGAAGCTGGGGCAAAGGAGGTCAAGTGAGCCGTGAGGAGAAAAAGCGAGAAGGGGGATCACGGCATGTTGGGCCGTCGACCACAGCCATATATGGTTTCTCTGCGTCTCGTCGCCAAGTGGTCGAGGTCCGCACCAGGTGAGTGTGTCTCCCGCCAGTCCCCGTCTTTCTCTCTTACTTTCCTGCGTCCTTCCTCGGATCGTTTTTTGCTGCTCGCCCACTGGCTCCTACGCCCCGTTCGCTCGCACTATCTAACCTTGAGCTACCACCTACCTAGGTAAGCCAAGGTACCCTCACCTACCATACACATGCTCAACCCCCGCCCCTCTCGCCTCTCAGTTGCCGACAAACCACCGATCCAACCGTGCTGCTACCGGCAGAAGGCAGGGTGCCCAGGCCACAACCTACCATGTCGCGAGCAGCCGACCAGCAGACTCTTACAGCCAAGACTGGCCAGCGACCTGGCACACACCCTATTTCGCCACCGCAACGAGCTGTTATTCGCTCAGGCCACACCAACCCGTCCTTGTCCAGGCCCACGTCCTTGTTCAGGCCCCCGTCCGTTTCCAGGCCCCGTCCTCGTCTCTTGGCCCTCGTCTGGACGGTGCCCCCATGGGCAGAATACCCCCGTCAGTCCCACACGTCTCCACCGGATCCATAGGCTCCACTGGCCCCTCTGAGAAAAGTTATCAGATGGTGACACTGGCCAATGAAGCCGTCGAGGCATATCCACCACAATTCCAATGGCGCCATATCAGATCATCTGATTAGATGATCTCTATGCGTCTGATTGGACAATGCGATCAGCCACGACTATAGCTCGTCTTGGCTGCAAAGATAACTCGTCGAAAATGTTGTCCGACTCATCCACCTGGTGCTCCTCGGTCCCCCCTAGCTCCTCGTCTGCTTCTGTCTGCACTTCCCACACATCGCACTTGGCTGCCCATTTCAGCTGACATCCCCTCTTCTCGTCGTATCCGGCTGCCGCGCAGTTTCTTCGATAGTTCTCATGCCCGGTTTTGGGTTGCACTAGGCGCGTGTCGACTTGCCATTTTTTCCCTTCCTTTCACGACAGCGGCTGTTCGTGTCAGGATCAGGGTTCCTCCATCATCGGCCAGCCCAGCTATTACTCCGGCTGTCTCACAAACGTTCTCTCTCTCTCTCTCTCGTGTCGTGGAGAAAGGATTTGAGTCACAGCTTGTCCTCGTCGTCCCACACTCCACTGCACTCCCTGTCTCTCGGTTTCGTCCATCGTGTGCCGGATCGGCGATATCGGCCTAAGCGCGCCCGCCACGTCCTGTCAGTCACCACCGGTATCCAACTAGGCGGAGCATCATGCGAGGTCGGAAATTGTGCGACGGCATGGGTTTCCGCGTGAGCGACCAGATCATGTTCTGGCACGCTTTCTGACTCTCTTTATTCTGGTTCCCCGCCCCGCTTGCCGCTCTGCAGGGACCATGTGTCCGTCCATTTGCCCCATTTTGCCGCCACGCGAGCCATCGCTGCTAGACTGTGACCTGCTGGTCCGAACCGCCCGACTCAGCAACCAGGAATCTAGTCTTCTCGCCTGGCCTTACTTGGCGCGCCGGAAGGGAAATTAGGACGATGCGTAGCCAGGAACCTTGCAGCTCATCGTCTCCAGGCCCTGACGGATGCAACGTAAACATTGCTGGGTGCAGCAGAAGCTAAGGTATAAGACGCTGAACCTTCTCCCTCCGTCCCTCCATCACCCGACTCTCTCTTCCCTTCCAGCAGCCAATCTTCTCCAGCCATCTTCGCAAGTCTCCTCGTCTTCCGTCTCTCGCTCATAGGTCATTCGTTCCACTCCTGGTTACTACAAGCTTCTCAAGCCACAGCCCAACCCCCACGCCAGACTTTCCAACACACCCCCCAAATCCATCAACATGGTTGCCACCCGTATCTTCTCTGTCGGTGCCGCTCTGGCCCTGGCTCTGCCTGCCACTGCCTCGCCGACCCTCGCTCGCCGCGCCTTCGAGATTAGCGAATTCACCCCCTTCCAGAAGCGCCAGGTCTCCAGCGAGCAGTTTGCCTGCCACTCCGCCTGCGGTATGTCAACGCCTAAACCTCTCAAAGGCATGGCCCGTTCCGGAAACTGACATGATCCAGGCAACACCATCCTCGAGTCCGAGACCGGCACCGCGCACTGCTCTTCCACCGCCTGGCGCACCCGCCTCGACGAGTGCTTGGACTGCGTCCAGGAGTTCCCCATCTGGCAGTTCTACAGCGAGGGTGTCCAGGCCGGCGCCACCGCCTGCGGCCTCACCGCCGAGCCCGGCTCCCCCTCCTCCGGCGGCGAGACCGAGACCACCCCCGCCGCTGAGCCCACCCCTGCTCCCGTCACTACCACTGCTGCTGCCGCGCCCACCACCGCCGCCGCTGAGGAGGAGACCACTGCTGCCGCCGCCGCTCCTGAGCCCTCGTCTCCCGCCCCCGAGGGCGAGACTACCCCGGAGTCTCAGTACCCCGTCCCCACCGTCTCCGAGGCCGCCCCCGTGGTATCCGAGTCCGCTGTCGCCTCTGCTGTTCCCTCCGCCGTCGCCACTCCCTCTGGCAACAACGTAAGTTTTCTGTACAGTCCTTCATCTGGGAATGTTTCATTGACGAGCCATATCCAGACCATTCCCGAGCCCACCACCATTGAGGTTGACGGTGCCGCCTCCCTTGGCTTCATGGGTGTTGCCGCCATGCTCGGCCTCGCTGCCATTGCCCTCTAAGCGACTTGTTTGGTCTTTTAAGCAACTGAAACTGAGGCGTTTGAAAACCGTATGGTCATATTGGGATGGCCTTGTTGTAATAGCTTGCTGTTCTGTACATAACACCCCTGGGGAGAGATGCGATTATGAGTCATTGGTAATGACCCTATTAATAAGATTAAGATGGGATATGATGCTTTGTTCTGCATTTGCGTGATGTATGATCCACTTTTCTCCTTCGTCGTGATTATTGGATGGACCAATTCACGGTCTGCCAGATTCAACTTCGTCTTCCTACTTGGATCCGTGGGTCTGTTGGGATAGGTTTCGCATATTGAACTCGTTGGATTCTTTGCTTACCATTAGATTTCTCATGGACTTCGCACCAAACTCTCACACTTATTCTCATGTTCGTAATCAGACTCTTCCGGCTGACGTTTCTGTGTCTCCTCCTGGATATGGAAATATGAAACTTCCAGGAAGTTGAGAGGTTGCATACCTAGCCGCGCATGCATGTCCCGAAAGCCTCGCATGAATGGAAGCAAGCGCCAGCATAACGCACAGCAATACCAGCCACTAACTAGACATCATCGGCACACTGTTCATAGAGAAAGTGCTGGCAGCAATATACCTCCTATTCGCCCCACGGAAACCATTTCAGGTACCCGAGTTACTTCAAGAGTCGAATCAGAGAACCAAACCACATGCAAAATCCCATGTTGCGGTATCGGGCGGCTTTCCACGGATGGCCCGAACTTCGTCCAAGACGGTCACTGCTTCAGACCTGGCTCGTATCCGGTCTCCTACCAGACAAGTATCTCCGAGCCAACCGCCCGAAACGCCGGCCGAGCCCCTCCAGCATACAGCATCCTGTAGCCTCGCTGCATTGGCGCGCTTGTGTGCTGACCAGTAAGTCCAGGCATGTTGTTCGTGTTGATTGTTCTTCCAGACATGCCTGTTGGTTAAATGTGATGCCTGAGATCGAGATCCCTGGCAGCCGTCTGCTTGAACTCGAACGATGCTACCAGAACCGTCCACGTGGTCAGGCGCTGCCTTTCAGCCACTTCTTAGTCTAGTCGCTGGACTCTCGACCCGTCGGCGGGCTGGGGTGGCAACCCTTGCGCCCCTTGGCCAGCCCAAGGCTGCTACCGGCAGCCCAAGAGTGCAACTCTACGCGACGTCCGTCCGCAGTTAGTCCGCCCGTCTCCGAGACTGCCAACAAAAGTACATGGGGGAGAGCGGCGAGTGACACAGACTCCACTGTATGATGAAATCCTCAGCCTGTCGTGCCAGCTCTGACCAATGTCATGCTATCGTGTGAACTCTCATGGTGGACTGACCTTTGTTAACAACACGTCCACACGCTACTGACACATTGTGTTCTGACAACAACTTTGAGAATGTGTCTTGTCTCGAGCGGCTGAATCGTCAACAGTCCGCTACAAAGAACGTGGCTGAATATTGAACTATACTGTACAGCACATGACTAGGTGTACATGACGCCCCCTGTTCGCAAGCCTTGACCCATGCCGCGGGCCAAGAATCCTGGCATCCTGCGTTCTTGGCTTGATCTGATAACGATAGAGCTCCTACCGGCCGGCCAGGACGTGGCCATGGCGGATCCCACTCGTCCGCAAGGGGTGGTGCAGGTGATCGGCGCGGGATCTTGACCTTATCAAACCAGGAGGCCAGCAAATCAAGATGTCTGTCTAGTACTTCCTGCGTGAAATCATGTACGGAGCTGGATCCAGAAAAGCCATGACCGAACGTACCCGCCGCAGCCACCTCTCCTCCTTCGTTCTCGCTCAATAGCCCGAGGGCCCTGTTTCTTTCTCCGCGTCTCGTTCGCTGCAATGAGCAAGGCTCGATCTCCATGCTTCCGAGTTCTCCGAATACTTGCCTGACAGCATCCAAAACCTACCTGGCTATTCTACTGCAGTTTGATCTGGTTCGCTCTTCCAAGTCTTGATGCCATCAGCCAGGCAACATGCTCTCTCCTCCTAGACCTGATCTCCTTGAGCATGAGGCCCAGTGGTATCAGGACAATACCACGGATATTCTCGATATGATTGAGATTCGATCTCAGTATCTTCCAGACTCAAACCTGACTTCCCCGCCAGCAGTCTTGCCAGCGAAACAGGCCGCAAGCAACCATCCCTGGCACCAACCTGCGCCCTCTCATCCAGTGAGAAGCCCGACCAGTCCGGCAGCAGCGGCAGCATCACTCTTGGCACACAAATTGCATCCCTCCAGCCAATCGTGGCAGTAATGTTACGTGACTCAAATCCGAGGCGTTCAGAGCCGCCGGGGTGCTGTGCCGCAGTCACTAGTCCACCCTCGAGCTCATTCGCCCCTCTCGAGCCATCAAACACGTGAGACTGCGCCAGCAGACGCGGGAGTAGGTCTCCCTTAGCCAGCATCACAATTCCATGAGGTTTCTACGCCGATCAGCAATGTCCTTGTCCGCAAGCTTGACGCCTAGCGCAGACAGAGAGACCCAAAACGCGTGTTTGCGGACCTTGTCATCTCTCGCTTCGGCCACGGCCGAGCCCGGCTTTGTAATCCGCGTGTACGTCGTGAAACGGACACAGCGGAATATCTTGATGCAGCGGCCTCGCGCACCTGGCGAGCCCTTCAAGGGGGCCACTTGCGTCCCAGTTGCAGTACAGCCCCCCCACGGCGTTGAACAAAACGGCACGCTGCAGCTGCAAGTCCTCCTTGGTGATAAGTTCTGCCTGTTGCTCAATTTGCTCGCTCCCTGAACACATACCTCACCCCGCTCATGGTGCCGGCGTCAGCCGTGATGTCCTTGCCGTTGATCAGCAACACTGTAATCGTCCATTCGAGACCATAGGGGCACTAGCAGACGAGTTGAAGAAAAGACCTGTGATATAGAACACCAGCTTCCCGTCGTGTCAAGGTCATTGTATCGACTCTGCCTTCGAGCTAGTTCAATAAGATCTCGCTTGACTGGGAACATGGGGTCTGAGGGTTCTAGGGAGCGTAGCCGGACTGGAATCGTCAATCTCGTCAGAATGGCCTCCAAGATAAGATTCCGTACTGCAGACGCTGTCAGCTTGAAGGCCACATGCGACACGCCCCCGCGAAGTTTGGTCATGTTGTAGGCTAGTCTGAGAGGCAGCTCGTAGGCGGTTCTCACGTGAGAGGGGGTGCCGTGCCGGTTTGTCTGCGAGCCTGGGCCAGATGAGTGATGTATTGCTGTTCGTGAAATTGTTGATCTTCACTGGGAAGCAGATCCGGTAAACCCATTTTCGACATGGCAGGTAAATTATGCATGTATACTGGTCTACCTTTGGCAATGGCTTCGGTGCATGGGCGTATCACATCCAAAGGTTTCTGCCATGTCTGAGTTGCAATTTTACTTGCTCCTCCGTATTAGGGGGGTAACCAACGCTCGAGGTCTCCATACTCAACACCAGGGTACGAACTGCGAAATGAGCCCGAGGGACAGGTTAAGACGTTCACAAGTATCCTGTTACTCATGCTTTAACGATCAGGCCAAAATCATTGTGATGATCCGCGAATCGCGGTTAGCGAGTTCAATTACTATGATCCGGAGATCAGAATAGCAACTGGTTTGACTGGGAGCTCCCATGGTCTTTGTCCACCTTGACCACAAGGCTTTGCGGCACAACTCGAACCCCAAAGGTACCTGACAAAGACCGATTGACGTAGAGTCTCGACCACTTTGCCTGTTGACATGCCATGTTCAGGGTATGTCCCGCTCAAACCGTACTGGTCTGATCATGCCGATTGCGAATAGCTTCAAGGCTGGGATATAAACTCATCGCAGCTCCTTCACAAGCAGACCATCTCAGCCCCAGACCATCATACCATCGACAGTAACTGACAGTGCAGCTAGACATAACCGAACACACCCTGACCGAGCCTCTTATTCCGCAGACTCACAACAAAAACCATGGCTGACAAGGCAGCTACCAAGCTCCCGATCCGCATGCAGGACTCGAAGCCGCGCAAAGGCGAGGCCTTGCGCAAAGAGCAGCATCGCTACCTCCGCTGGGAGCGCAGGCACAGCCGCAATGGAGGCCTAGGATGGGCGCAAAACATCTGGCCCGACATGCCTGAGAAAGCTGGCGACACCATCCCCTCGCTCCCGAGCATCCGTGAGCTGATCAGTGGCCTCATTGTGCGTGGCGCTCTTCCTCTGCCGCTCGCCTTCCACGTGACCGAGTTTGCCAACGGCATGTGCAGTCGCGTCTTCAAGCTCGAGTTTCCCGAGGGCGCCGAGATGCCTGACGGCATGAAGAGCACAATGCTGCTCCGTTTCGCAGCGCCCCTGGATCCGTACTGGAAGACAGAGTCGGAGGTGGCGACCATGGCGTGGCTGGCGGCCAAGACCTTTGTGCCGGTCCCGCGGGTGTATTTCTTCGATTCGTCGGCAAACAACGATCTCGGGTTGGAATGGGTGATCATGGAACTGATCGAGGGATACACGTTTGCCAACTGGATCGACGACTGGGCCGACGAAGACGGGATGGACCAGCTGACGTTGACAGATGATCAGATGAGACTCATTGGATATCAATCCAACAGTTACCTGTTGAGCCTGCGCGCACGCCAGTTCGACAAGATTGGCAGCCTGTACTGCAACTGGGGAACAGGTGAGTTCTATATCGGCCCGATGGTTCACCTTGACTACTTCCATGGTGACCGTCTCCAGTATGAAGGTTTGCAGCGGGGACCATTCAGCAATATTTCCGAATATTTCAAGTCCCTGACGGATCTCACGATTCTCGAAGCCCACCACATGCAGGAAGCTGATCGGAAACAGCTCCTGGCACTAACCGGTGCTGCGTGCTGGGACGTTGTTGGTGAGGGCGATCCTGGTTTTTCAAAGCCACCGAGCGTCGAGGGCCTACAGAATCGCGCCCACCAGATCAACACCGAGCTGATGCCACGCCTACTAGCGCACGTCAGCAACCTACCAACATTTGCCGGGGGCGTGAACAACGAGGCTGGGCCCGTCGATGGATGGCACACTGAACTGATGCATCCCGACTTGCACAGCAATAACGTGCTCGTTACCCGTTCGGCGAACGGGATACCCAAGATCGCGGCCATCATCGACTGGGATTGGACGTGTTTGATGCCGCCCTCGTTGTCAGCGTTCATGCCGCCACTTGAGTTGGAATTCCAGGACAAGCTGGCTGGGAGTGTCAGGTACCCAAACGCGCAATTGTTGGAAATGCATCATATTCTCGCTCCCGGCGATCTGGAGAAGGATATTCTACCGAAGCTGCAGGGCTATCCCGTCAACAACATTGCATCGACGATCTTCCGGCCAGCGAAAAAGTACATCGTCAAGCGCGCCCTGGCGCTGCGAGCGGTGCACCACGTCGTGCGGAGAATAGCCGCGTGGGATTCTCGCGACATGGAGTGGGTCACCAGTGCTATCGAATTTCTGAATCAGCAGCAGCAGCAGCAGAAGCAGAAGCAGGGTGAGGATTGATAGATTGACTGGTGTGCTTTGAGGGCCTCGTCGAGTGAGGATTCAGTAACGACGCTGTAGGAAGCATGTGTAGACATCGATTTACTGACGCGAGAGCCGGCGTTCATGTGAATCGTTGACTCTCTGAGTAAAAGAAATCTTAGGCCTTAGAGTAGAAATGAGCCCAGATACACGAATGATTTGATTATGTGAGCCTAGTGAAGTGATGTGAGCTGAAGTTGATGGTCGCTCGCCCAGCATCTATCTTGGCAGTATATTTTGCTCGTGATTGTAGGAGCACAACCCCAGCGTAGATCACAGCCAAGGTGACATGTCGGTCGGCAGCTGTCCACATGTTGGACCAAAAGGTCCGAGAGAGAAGGGGGAAGGGAGGGGTTCAGATCGCGATCAGGAACACGTCCATCCTTCGTGCGCCTGTCCTTGATACAGTCAGGGCCGGCAAGCACCGAAACGTGTTTGTGCGCCATGCCAATCTCCCCCAGGAGTAGCTTTCCCGCTGGTGATGCTGTGGCTTTGACTCGAACAGTCCCTCTGGTGGTGCGAGTCGCACTAAGAGCGGATGGCGTCACTGGTATCGTTGGGTTGCTAGGGAGTGAACCATCGGCTGACGTCATGGACAGCCATTAGGGGGTTCAACCAGTGAACCCATTCTTTGCTGGCTCGACGAGCCGCACAGTAGTTTTCCAAGACCATCCCATCTGCTTGCGGACTCTGCAAAGCCCACGGGCGGGCGGCATGGTTGACAATGCGGCCAGATGATTTGGCGATCTAGATTGAGTTTGCTGGCTTTAACAGGCTCGACAGGGCGGACAGGTTTCCACACCTGCGGAAGAATTGGGGGGTGCAGGGCTATGGAGCCAAGCGTTACGCGTCGAGTAGCGGTTATGACGATGTGCAAAGCGTATCCTGTCCCCTTGAGCGGTGCACCAAGCATTGAGGTGCCTGGTCCGGCTCGTCATGTCTTGTGCCCGCCGTTGGATCGCGAGATGCAGAGACATACGAGGGTGAAGAGCACGGCCTGGTCCAGATGGTGTCGCTGGTGTCGCTTGGCAAGAAGATATCCGGGGGCTCGTCAGAAGCACGCAGATGGCATCCGTTTTCTGCGATGCAATGTCGTTGTCATGGGGAATCGATGCGCTCTTTCACCGCACCTTTTTCGTCTGCAACCAATGTAGCATTGGCTGTATCGAGAGGAAACGTGAATGGGGTGCCCATTGGAATGTATCCAGCTAATGTCATGTTCGTCGAGACATGCAGGGACGGCGCGCCTGACCGAAGCGCTTTTGGGGGCCAGGGTGCATCGCAAACAGAGGTCTGCGTTCCAGCCCAGGCCCGCGACATCCTCAATTGATAGTTCGTCGCACTCCTCCCTCCAGCTTCGTGTGGATATCGTCCGGGCATGCGCCGGGATGTGGGCACCGACTGGGTAGCCAGCTGGCTGTAGGGCAAGGCGCTGCTGGGAGCGAGGTAGCTAGCGCGCGGCCCATCGTGGGGTATGACGCTGTTGAGGCTACGAAACGGGGGCGTTTCGTGAGAATCTCCGGGCGGGCCAAGGACAGGTTAAAACCCGCCTCATCGATCGGCGCTGGGGTGATCGGGGGCGTTCACGGGAGATTGGCCACAAGCTGAGCCAGCATCGTGGTTTCTGTCCCAGTTCTTCGTCAATTGGGTTGCCCGCTTCCCAAAGAGGTGTTGGGGGGTGTCTGTCAGGCTCATGAACCCCGTGTCGTAGCACATGTTCTCGTCGGCTCATCCACGATCGGTCGACCAGACGGTGTGGACGTGGCCGCTGGATGAGAATCGCCAAAGACTTGGCGGCAGGGGGCAGGCAGAGTCTAGGCCTGGCATCTGGCTGCGCTCTCGAAGAATGGGCACGCGCTTGTGACAGGTGAGTACCTGGACCAGAGTCGATGGATTGTAGCTAGAGCCTGTCTGGTGTCTGGAGTGCACCGGGGCAACCAAGTACCGGCAGCGGCTGAGTGGCAGCTGGGCCCTCGTCATCGCGATCCACTGTTGGCCGTCGACCACCTGTCCATATGAAGACGCACCAGAATGGCACAGACATGATCCAGGGGATTGTTCCGTCTCAAGAGAAACCAGTCAACTCCAGCGTCGGGGACTTGACTGGCTGTTGCTTCCATAATGAGATGCGAGTGTGAAGTATCGCCTCTCCCAAGGAGGAGAACAGGTGATACCGAACGAGAGCCAGTTCGAGACCCAGGAGGCTCTCCCTGTACCTGGGGAAAGACTGTCCGTTTCGGGAAGGGGCATTGGGAGATCTCATTTGGAGGTGGGCAAGCACAAGGGGAATCGGACTGCAACCGCCTCCCTGTCAACCGCTTTCCCCCCACCGCTCCTTCCCCCCGTGTGCCTTAGCCGCCGGATCACCAACGATGAAGGGGGGTTCAGACGTAAGCTGGGGTGAAAAGCAGTGATCCAACTGAAATTGAGACCCCCTCGCAGATGGAATGAAGAGCCTTTGAATCCAGAACCAGTGTCAGACAAAGATGGACAACGAACCTCCCATTTCCATGGCAGGGGCGAGAGTGTGCCGTCGTGCGCATGGCTGGCCAGTGGTTGCAGGGATCGCAGGGGTCGCACCAGCTGGCAAGCAGAAACCCTCAAGCCAATGAGGGTCCGACCTGGTACTTCAGTCCCGGATCAGAGGCTCCACAGGAGCTACCGCAAACGATGACGTCCTTCACACGAAGCTCCTCCCAAGCTTCACAGTAACGTCACTGCTTCCGTAGTGCTCGTGCCCGTCTCCGTCTCCCCAGCGTGCCTTCCTGCCTACCTACCATTTCTAACCTCTCCACGGCAGGTAGGTAAGGTAGGTACCTTAGGCACCCTGTCAATGGTTCAATGCGAGCTAACGTGTCAGCCATTCCCCAGTGAGGTCTCGCTGAGTGCATCCGCCCGTCATCATCGTTCTTGGAAGCCCAGATTCAGCCAAGGTCCAGGGCAAGCTTTTCCTCTGGTGCCGTCTCACCTGAAGTGCCCGAGCTGGGGCCGTCAGTCGGTGCCCTCTCTGCACCCCCCCCCCCCCACCCTACCCTTCTTTTTTTTGGCCGTCCCAGGCGCCCGCAGGAAAAAAATTGGGGGGACC